GAATCTTCGAATTTGTGATACTTTATTTTGGCTTGGTTGTTGTTAGCTCTTCGAAAAATTTGATGGTAGCTATCATTGCAGGCGGAGGAATTTGAATAAAGAAGTGCTGTGAATTTCTGAAATTAGTGATGCCTGTGTAGTGTATTGCCTCGTTGTCGGTTTGCTCGTTTCGTGGCTTGTTTCCTCAATAAATGCAGCACAGGTTCATTGGTTAATAGCCTGTATCAAATATGGTTTATTAAGTTCTTATGTTGCTTGGAATCTTCGAATTTGTGATACTTTTTTATTTTTGCTTGGCTGTTGTTAGCTCTTTGAGAAATTTGATGGTAGCCATCATTGCAGGGCAGAGGAATTTGAATAGTAAAGTGCTGGGAATTTCTGAATTAGTGATGTCTGTGTGGTTTACTGTCTCTTTGTCGGTTTGCTTGTTTCACGGCTTTCCCTGCTTTTGCTTACTAAGCCTTTTGTCCCAAACAAGTTGGGGTAGGCTAGATATGAAACCCTTTCACGAGGACTTCCCAGGAGGTCACCCATCCTAGTACTACTCTCGCCCAAATGGGTTTCATACCCAAAGGACAGGCGAGTTTTTACGTTGGCTCGCCAAGCCTATCACAACCCTTAGATATGAAACCCTTTCACGAGGACTTCCCAGGAGGTCACCCATCCTAGTACTACTCTCGCTCAAATGGGTTTCATACCCATGGGACTGGCTAGTTTTTACGTTGGCTCGCCAAGCCTATCACAACCCTCCTCCTTTACCCGGGCTTGGGACCGGCTATGCCTAGAAGACATAGGCGGAGTTGTTTCACGGCTTTCCCTCCATAAATAAATACAGTAAAGGTTCATGGGTTCATAGTCTGTATGTTATCATTAGCTCATATGTTTTGGTGAAATTAGGAAGTTTTTAGGGGCCATTGCACCTTGGGGGTGGGGTTAGAAGTGCGAGGCTGCTTCATTTGTGTTCTCTAATAGTGCGTTCTTCTCTTTCTTGCTTGCATAACAAAGTTCTTGTTTATTTTCTAATTATGTTTATCCGTACAGAAAAGGAGAACTTGTGCCTTTATGGGTACCCTAATGAAACATGGGAAGTGACGTTGCCTGCTGAGGAAGTTCCCCCAGAGATTCCTGAACCAGCACTTGGAATCAACTTTGCTAGGGATGGCATGAACGAGAAGGATTGGTTGGCACTAGTTGCTGTTCACAGTGATTCCTGGTTGTTGGCTGTTTCATTCTACTTCGCGGCACGGTTTGGATTTGACAAAGAGGCAAGGTAATGATTCCATCAAACTTTCTGTTTCCTTAAACAAGCATATATGCATCCTTAGCTCATGTCCTCTCCATTTTCCATTTGCCTTTTTTTTAACGGATTC